TTCATAAAACATTGAAATTACATTTCCATAACTCTCGTTGAAATAATTACACCAGCCGAACCATTCAAACCAAGTATCCAACCAATCAATTAGATTTTTTTTCCCCAAATTTTGTAATATTTGACTGAAAGTAGTTATACAGTTTAAGAAAAATATAATTTAATACAAATAAGAGAACTTGATGAATAAAGTCATGTATGCACCATTCAAAAAAAAAAAGAAGTAGGGTATGCAAAGAGAATTACATATAATTAGATAAATTCCCGTTGAAAATTGAAGAGTAAAAAGACCGTTTATTTTAGTTTTTATCTTCAATTGAATCGAGAAAGAGAAGGAATTTAACTAACTGAAAATTGTAATGAGATACATTTTAAAAAATAAAATTACCAAAAACGGGGATACAATTAGGGAAGAAATACGTTGACCAAAAATGTCATTTGATATTTTGGAATTCTACGGCACTATTGTAGTGTTGTACAATACACACTTCTTGTTTTTTTTATTTCTTTTTTCTTAAAAAATATATATACATAGTATTATTTAGTAGGAAGTATATTTTTCTGGGGCCTTGTATTGTATTAAAGCTGGACATTTTAACAAGGGGACCAGGGCAGCCGCCCCAGCTGCCCTCCCCTTGCTACGGCCCTGCACAAGGTACAATCACATTATCAAGGCGCCCTAATTAATCTCTTTTATAATTAAACGTTTGAAAAACATTAAGATTTTGACTAAATATTCATCAACTATTGCTTGAATCATAATCTGATTAACCTATTTTTCATGACAATGAGATGTATCCCCTAGGGCCTCAAGACTTTTCGCCACTGGGCCCCGGAATCTCCGAAATTTCTCAAAAGCGTGGATAATAGTCTTCAATATTGAAATTTTTAGACCTTTTTCGCTCCCAAAATAAAAATTGCCGAGATGTATACCATTTTCCCTGATACACTCCGGGCAAAGATTCCATTTAGTGGGTGAAACCATCCAATTTGCCTTAAAACAGTCAATTTACCCGTTCACAACTTGCACCGATTTCGTGAACTCAAGCCTACCATGGACATTTATGACGACATAAAATGATCATATATGCTTCCAAACGACATTATATGATCCTAAGATATATCCCCTAGGACCTCAAGAATTTTCGCCACTGGGCCCCGTAATCTCTGAAATTCTGCAAAAAGCGTGGATAATAGCTTTCAATTTTGGAATTTTTTTTGACCATTTTTTCACCCGGAAATAAAAATTTCCGAGAAGTTTCCCATGGTTCCTTATACCATCCAGGAGTACAATTAGGTGGCTAGTACCATTTAATTTTCCTTAAAATAGTTAATACCCGTTCACAACTTGCACCAATTTCGTGAACGCTAGCCTTCCACGAACATTTAGGACAACATATAATGGTCATATATGGTTCCAAACGACATTTTATGAACCTGAGATGTATCCCCTAGAGCCTCAATACATTTTGCCACCTGGCCCCGTAACCTCCGAAATTCCTTAAAAAACGTGAATTGTAAAAATTACCGAGATGTTTACCATGGTTCCTAATAACCTCCGGGAGTCCAATTAAGTGGGTGGAACCATCCAATTTGCTTTAAAACAACCAATTTACCCGTTCAAAACTTGCAACGATTTCGTGAACTCAAGCCTACCACGGACATTTATGACGATATATAATGATCATATATGGTTCCAAAAGGCATTATATGATCCTAAGATGTATCCCCTAGGGCCTCAAGAATTTTCGCCACTAGGCCTCGTTATCTCTGAACTTCCGCAAAAAGCGTGGATAATAGCTTTCAATTATGAAATTTTGACCTCTTTTCGCCTGAAAATAAAAATTTCTGAGAAGTTTACCATGGTCCCTAATACCTTATGGGAGTACAAGTAGGTGGGTGGAACCATCCAATTTGCTTTAAAACAGCCAATTTAACCGTTCACAACTTGCACCGATTTCGTGAACTCAAGCCTACCACGAACATTTATGACAACATATAATGGTCATATATGGTTCCAAATGGAATTATATGACCCTGAGATTTATCCCCAAGGGCCTCCAGACTTTTCGCCATCGGGCCCCGTAACCTCCGAAATTCCAAAAAAAAGTGAATAATAGCCTTCAACTTTGGAATTTTTTGACCATTTTTCGCCTGGAAATAAAAATTGTCGATATTTTTACCATGGTCCCTAATAACCTCCGGGAGTCCAATTAGGTGGGTGGAACCATCCAATTTTCTTTAAAACGGCCAATTTACTCGCCATTCACAACTTGCACCGATTTCGTGAACTCAAGCCTACCACGGACATTTATAACAAAATATAATGGTCATATATGGTTCCAAATGACATTATATGATCCTGAGATGTATCCCCTACCTAAGGCCTCAAAATATTTTGCCACCGGGTCTCGTAACCTCCGAAATTCCTCAAAAAGCGTGGATAATAGCTTTCAATTTTGGAAATTTTTTTGACCCTTTTCACCCGGAAATAAAAATTGCCGAGAAGTTTCCCATGGTTCCTTTTACCATCCAGGAGTACAATTAGGTGGCTAGTACCATTTAATTTTCCTTAAAATAGTCAATACCCGTTCACAACTTGCACCAATTTCGTGAACGCTAGCCTTCCACGAACATTTAGGACAACATATAATGGTCATATATGGTTCCAAACGACATTATATGAACCTGATATGTATCCCCTAGAGCCTCAATACCTTTTTCCACCTGGCCCCATAACCTCTGAAATTGCTTAAAAAACGTGAATAATAGCTTTCAATTTTGGGAATTTTTTGACCTTTTTTCGCCCGAAAATAAAAATTGCCGAGATGTTTACCATGGTTCCTAATAACCTCCGGGAGTCCAATTAGGTGGGTGGAACCATCCAATTTTCTTTAAAACAGCCAATTTACCCGTTCACAACTTGCACTGATTTCGTGAACTCAAGCCTACCACGGACATTTATGACGACATATAATGATCATATATGGTTCCAAAAGGCATTATGATGATCCTAAGATGTATCCCCTAGGGCCTCAAGAATTTTCACCACTGGGCCCCGTTATCTCTGAACTTCCGCAAAAAGCGTGGATAATAGCTTTCAATTATGAAATTTTTTGACCTCTTTTCGCCCGAAAATAAAAATTTCTGAGAAGTTTACCATGGTCCCTAATACCTTCTGGGAGTACATGTAGGTGGGTGGAACCATCCAATTTGCTTTAAAACGGCCAATTTAACCGTTCACAACTTGCACTTATTTTGTGAACTCAAGCCTACCACGAACATTTTTGACAAAATATAATGGTCAAATATGGTTCCAAATGGAATTATATGATCCTGATATATATCCCCTAAGGCCTCAAGACGTTTTTCCACCAGGTCCCATAACCTCCGAAATTCCTCAAAAAGCGTGGATTATAGCCTTCAATTTTGGAATTTTTTTTTTACCTTTTTTCGCCTGAAAATAAAAATTGCCGAGAAGTTTAAAATTGTCTCTAATACCCTCCGGGAGTACAATTAGGTGGGTGGTACCATTTAATTTGCCTTAAAACAGTCAATGTAACCGTTCACAACTTGCACCGATTTCGTGAACTCAAGCCTACCACGAACATTTCTGTCAACATATTATGGTCATATATGGTTCCAAACAGCATTATATTACCCTGCGATGTATCCCCTAGGGCCTCAAGCCTTTTCGCCACCGGGCCCGTAACCTCCGAAATTCCTAAAAAACGTGAATAATAGCCTTCAATTTTGGAAGTGTTTGACCATTTTTTCGCCCGGAAATAAAAATTGTCGAGATGTTTACCATGATCCCTAATACCCTCTGAGAGTCCAATTAGGTGGGTGGAACCATCCAATTTACTTTACAACGGCCAATTTACTTGTTCACAACTTGCACCGATTTCGTGAACTCAAGCCTACCACGAACATGTCTGTCAACATATTATGATCATATATGGTTCCAAACGGCATTATATTACCCTGAGATGTATCCCCTAGGGCCTCAAGACTTTTCGCCACCGGGCCTGTAACCTCCGAAATTCCTAAAAAATGTGACTAATAGCCTTCAATTTTAGAAGTTTTTGACCATTTTTTCGCCCGGAAATAAAAATTGCCGAGATGTTTACTATGGTCCCTAATACCCTCTGAGAGTCCAATTAGGTGGGTGGAACCATCCAATTTACTTTACAACGGCCAATTTACTTTACAACGGCCAATTTACTCGTTCACAACTTGCACCGATTTCGTGAACTCAAGCCTACCACGAACATTTCTGTCAACATATTATGGTCATATATGGTTCCAAACGACATTATATTACCTTGATATGTATCCCCTAGGGCCTCAAGACTTTTCGCAACCGGGCCCGTAACCTCCGAACTTTCTAAAAAACGTGAATAATAGCCTTCAATTTTAGAAGTTTTTGACCATTTTTTCGCCCGGAAATAAAAATTGTCGAGATGTTTACCATGGTCCCTAATACCCTTTGAGAGTCCAATTAGGTGGGTGGAACCATCCAATTTACTTTACAACGACCAATTTACTCGTTCACAACTTGCACCGATTTCATGAACTCAAGACTACCACGGACATTTACGACAAAATATAATTGTCTTATATGGGACCAAATGACATTATAACTAATAAGTATCATAAATCTAAAACCATTCAACAATTCCCTTAACAAAAAACAATGAAATTAAACTTACAAATTGCATAGTTCTAAAATATATAATTAAAAAAATGCCCATAAAACCACATCAAATGCAAACTTTCTTTCAATTACAACTTCTTTTGTTAAGATGCTTCTCATATATGCGAGCCCCAATCGCGTATATCATCGTTGCAGTCAACGCTTTCGACATCTACATGTTGTTTGACGCCTCATTCGAAGGACATTCTCTCAGCTAACGTAAAAGCTAAGCACACATGCATAAATTATAAAGATAAGTTGGTAAGAAATTATGTGCATAGTCAATCAATAATAGTACAAATAAGTTAAATTTTGTGAAGGATATTGAGAATAACCTCAACATACGGTTCAAGGTGCATCTTTAGAGCCTCATGCCCTTCCTTAATCCTCATAAATGCAGCATATAACCTGATAAAAAAAATGTATGGTAAAGAATTATAATATTCTTCATTGTTTTGATTTGATAAATTTATAAATAATTAAGATTAAATTATAGACTATAACCTATCGTATCTTCTTGCCCTGAAAATGTCAAACATCTCTCCAATAATCGCATTAAACCTCGCCATTCCTATGCTGCATATGAGAAAATAATTTGTCTTATAATGATTACAAACAGTAGAAGCATAATTCTCAAGTTTCGAAATACTACATTAAAACTCGATTAGGCTTCATTTATACGAGTAATAAGTTTATCTTTAAATGATTTAGAAAATGACTGATTAATTTGTGAATTTATAACATTTTTGTTAAATTTCAAAATAATATGAAATGGGCCTGGGCAACCCGAACAAGGAGGAGGAGATTTTGGTTCACAAACAAGGCTTTGGAGCTTCCATACTAAAACCAATTGGCAATAGTAGGATCTACCTTATAAAGTGGAACCAACTCTCCTCTTTCTTCAATGTGGGACACTCATAAGTGGTTTACAATGGGTTTCAACAATTTTAAATTGTCATGGGACCAAATATTTAGGAATGGGTTGAATAAAAGTTTAAGGCATGGAATAAAAATCCATAAGTTTGTAAATATAATTACTAAGTTGTCACTTACGTAGCACTGCCTCCCTTCAATTTTAGAATCAATCGTTCCACATTTACAAGATCCAATGGTTTGGAGTTTCTGTAAAAAAAAAAAAGGTAATAATTGTACATTAAATTTGTTGAATATATCCTTTGTTTAGTATTTATCATTATATCATTTATATATAGTGTAATTTGAACTAATTAAAAATACAAGAATGAACACATATGAAGAGATGGAGTATATGAAATAATATGAGTAAGCAATATTTAATTTGCAAAAAAATAAAAGAAAGACAAGAAAGCAGCATAAATAAGAAAAAGTTTATAATTACAAGAGTAGTTCCAAATCATTCATATAGGCAGCTGATGAAGGAATGTATGCAATGATGATATTCTCGACAAAATTAGGCTGAGTATCTTCTAGCGACTCCACTTGGAAGAAGAACTCATCCACAATCCCCTGCATGTTAGAATTTGATTCTCAATATCTTATGGTAAAGCACACAGACTTGTATTAAATTAAAGTGAGTTTAATTTTTTTTTTATTTATAAAGCCATAAATTAAAATTCATTAATTATACCGATCATTTCAAATTCATTTTTCATTATATAATTTGTTAGATCATGAATAAGTTGAAATATAAAAGCAGTATTGTTAGCTAACAAATAATAGGGAAATGTTGAGATACCGTTAAGGAAGGCTTAACCCCGATTAAATAAAGCACATTATCACAACATATTTGAATTTATATTATTATGTAGGAAAATTTGTAAATTACCACCCAAAAAGAGGTCCTGTTTTGATATTACCACCCATTAAAAAATTTATTTTAAATTACCACCCATTAAATTTGAACAATTTTCAGATTACCACCTTTTTTTGAATTTCCGGTGGAAATTCCGTTTGAGAGCCCCACATAACGGCTATAAACGACTAATTTAACTATTTTGACTCTCTCTCTCCCCCATTTCTGTTGTTTAAAAATTGTACAACTTCAAGTCACAAATTTTTCCCCAATTTTCATTCAAAATTCCTCAAATTTCAACTGCTACTGTGAGAAGAAGTTATCTACTAAAGATCGTACACTCAATTACATCAAAGGTATGATTCCACTACTTCATAATTTAGGCTTTTTTCGCAAATTTAGGAATTAGGGTTCATGAGTCAATTAAATTGGGGTTTTTTTGCAATTAGGCTATCTGTTTGCAATTAATTGTGCGATTTTGTTAGAATTCTGCTAATCGGAGTTGATGTTGTCCAAATTTGTTGAATGATTGTTTACTATGTTGAATAATTGTATCTTATGTGCTGTGTTTTGTGATTGAAAGAATTGAATGATTCATAGTTGCATGAAGTTATAAGCTTGTTCTTTTTCTTTTTTTGTTTTTGGATTATGTTTTGCAGAAATGGAGGAGTCGCCATTGACATTAGCAATTGACAAGAGCTTCAACTATACGCTTCTGAACACTTCGAGATGGCGCAATCAACAATACATGTAAGTACAACCAAAGCATTAAATTTGCATAAAAAAGTAGAGTTAGGGTTTTGATTCAATCCTAAGTAGGTAGTTGAGAATTTGACAAAGAATTAAAGGAAGAAAGAGGGAAAAAAATTGATGATTTTGGAAGAATTAAGTGAAGGAATTGAGGAGAGATGAAGTTTTTAGAGTTTAATGTAACAATCAGAATGTTAGGTCGAAGAAAAGAAGAAAAAAAAGAAGGAAAGTTAATAAGGTGGGGCCCATAATCGCAAATTCCACCAGAAAACATAAAAAGGTGGAAATATGAAAATTGTTTTAAATTTAATGGGTGGTTATTTAAAATAAAAGTTTTAATGGGTGGTAATTTCATATCAGGACCCCTTTTTGGGTGGTAATTTACAAATTTTCCTATTATATAATAGAAAACAGTGTTCGTTGATGCTTTCTCTCCCTTTTCTCATCGTTTTCTTTTCTTTTTCCTTCATTCTAGACATTTTATTTCCGATCTTTTGACCTTTATCTCCCAATTTCACTTCAACATTTTTTTTTATCAAAACTTTAAACTCATCATATATTAATGTATCGAAATTTTTATCTTTCATCTATCCTTAACAATTAAATTAAAAATAAATCAATCAAATTAAGAAAAGGAAAAATGGAATCTAAAAATCCAACCTTTGGTCGGTCTGACAATAAAAATCTAACCTTTCAATAATCTCAAAAAAATCCAACCTTTGCCCCCCACCTTCTCCAACAGGTCCATTTGACCTTTAACTTGTTAAACCGGTTAAAAAGTTTTTTTTTTATTTTTTTTATTTTTTTTTATTTTTTATTTTTAATTTCCTTCTCACTCCTCTTCTTTCTCTCTCCTCTCTACACCACCACCACTTCTGCCACCACTTACCCCACCCAACCCAAACCCTCTTCCTCCTCCTCCACCTCTCTACACCACCACCACCTCTGCCACCACTTAACCCTCTTTCTCCAACCACAAAACTCGGCTAAACCACCCCGACCACCCCAAAACCCCAACCACGAAACTCGGCTAAAAGGCTAATTTGGGTCGGGTTTAGGGTGGGGAGGGGTGGAAACGGGTCAGGGGTTGTCGGTTTGTGGTCGGTCGGGCGGTGGGGAGGTTCGGGGAGGGATCGAGCTGATTTGGGAGGGTCGAATAGGGTGTTTGGTGTGGTGGTTAGGGTTTAGATCGTGGGGGGTTTTGGTGGTTGGGGAGGTTGCGGCAAGGGGTGGGGGGAGATCGCCGGGGAGTGGGGGAGGTGGCTGGAGTGGTGCGGGGGCTAGGGAAGGTGGCTGGTGGTTTTTTTTTTGTTTTTGTTTTTTAATGATTAAAAAAATAATTGACCAATTAACGACTGACACGTGACACATAACTTACAAAAAACGGTCAACAACAGGTAATGGACCTGTTGGAGAAGGTGGGGGGTAAAGGTTGGATTTTTTTAGATTACTAAAAAGTTGGATTTTTATTGTTAGACCGGCTAAAGGTTGGATTTTTAGATTCCATTTTTTCTTAAGAAAATTATTTATCCCACGAGTGAAAAATTAGTTTATTCTTTTTTTTTTTTTTTTAATTTTTTTATTTCTTTCTCTTTTTTTGACAACATCATAGTTTATCCTTAAGGGATTAACTAATTACCTAAATCTCTTTAGTTGAGTACCTAAGACAATCACTTCAAATTTCCAATGGCCTTTAAGGTTTTTCAATTGTATGTTTCTATATATACATGCACCAATTGTTGCAAGCTCTACCACATATTTTTTTTTTTCAAATGTAATGAATTAGTATCTTTAATATTTTTTAATCAATTCAATTTTGTATGTATAGGTATTATTTATCTCAAAAGATTAATTTAAGCAACTTATTGAAACTTTAATTATAGGCCTTATAGTCCATGCATGTATAAGTAAATTTTATCATAGCTATTGTCAATTCTAGATCTTAAGGAGCCACTTAATTTTGTTATGCAAGCACATACACAAACAAAATCACACAAAAAATCATAATATAGAAATTCATAAATCAAATGAAAAAATTAAAAAGTTAAGAACTGAACCTCGTTAATAAAAAATTGTCTCTTCTCCACTAGTTGTTGGCCCAATTGATCTCTATTCATCTTGACTTCAATCTCACAATTAAGGCAGCAAAATAATCAGAGAGAAATGAGTGATCTTGGAATGAATAAGAGTACATTTGAGGGAATTTATATAGTTCTCAAGAGATCAGAGTTGCGAATATGCACAAAACTCATTTATATGGTAGATCAGTTCAGATTTTGTTAGTCAAAATAAACCATTTTATTAAATGCTTTCATATCAGTTTCTATACATTATATTTATTGAATATCTCCATTGATTGATATCAATTAATTAGAATCATTAAAGCAAAATCCAAACTTTCAACTGATTTATCACCAAAAATTCATGTTTTCATGTTGCCACTCTCACTAAGTAAACACTCCAATTATTGTCGGTTAATAAATTAGTCATAGAATAAAATGTAATTTAGATCTTTCTGGAAAGAAATTTATGACGCAAAAAACAATACCTTTGATATTTGATTTATATCGATGGATTACAACATTAGAGGGGTAGTAGTGCTTATAAAATTGGATTCGGCAATATCACTACTACAAAAGGGCGAAGCAACATGTTGTAATACGCCTAAGAGACCACCTAAGAGGCGGTCTCTAGGTCACAGATCTCTTTGATAAAGAAACTTGTTCAATAGAACACGTCTCTTTGTAATTAATAATAGACCTATTTAGTAGTGTAGCTAGGGTCGTACAAAAAATTGGCCTGGACCTGAAAACCGACCTGAACCGGACCTATTGGGATAGGACCTAATCCAGACCTGTTGATTCAGGTCCGGTCCCGGTCCTTGAAATTCAAGGATTCCGGGTTTTAGGTCCGGTCCGGGTAAAACCCAGAATTTTCAGGTCTGGACCTGAAATCGGTAAAGCTACTTTTTTTTATTTAATAAGTCTAAATAGGTCCATAAATAGGTCCATAACAGGTCTAAATAGGTCTAAACAGGTCCAATTATGTAGTATTTCTCTTGTCACAATCGCGAAGTGTTATATTGATTAATTATGTGTTAATGGCGGTTTCTTTACATGTTTGAGGGTTTGGAAACATAGCTTGAAAAAGGGTTTGAGGGTTTGGGAACATAGCTTGATTTCTTTCAGTACAACTTTATTAATGAAACATGTTTCGAGGATTAGTCACAATCCACAACTTCTGATTTCTAAGATGTGTGCGACAAAATTCAAGTCTGCTATTCATGGAGGAATTGCCGTGTCGTTGAAGAACACAGATTACTCTTTGGAATTCTCAATCTCGCACTGGCTGGAAATATGCTTGTCATGGGTTGTGGTTAGAAGGTGGAAAATGGAAAGTCCATCGTTAGAACTGGATGGTGACTAAAGTGTTAGAACGAATGCACATTTCATGTGATGATGGTTTAGGCTATGAATTGGATCAAATTTTATTAAAAAAACCATTGTTCAGTGGCTAGAATCAGGCCAAACTTTGCCACTATTTTGTATTCGGAATGCGTCTGTTATTGGGAGATGTACTATTTGTATTTGGTGTAACATTTTATGGTCAAAACAAATTGGTCCACTCACATTGACAAAGTCTTATGGTCTTGAAACATTCTCTCGAAGTGGAAGTTTTTTATGTGGGTTGTGGGAAGTCTTACGAAACAGAATTGCAATAAAAGGTAATTTGGGAAGACGGGGTTTGGATATTGGTATGTGTTGTGACCTTTGTAGTTTTTGGGAGGAAGGCTTACAACACTTTTTAAGGTTATGTAAGTCTGCTAAGGATGCATAGTGGGGTGGCAATTTACAAATTCGCTCAAAAGTTAATGTAGACCAGTCTTGTCTAGACTTGATTTTGTACTTGTGGACTCCTACATTTGGATTCCTATCCTGAAATGAAGTGCAATGATTATACGTACGAAACATGTTCTTTAATCTAGATGAAAGTTATAGTATTGATGGACTTCGAAATATCATATGAAGTAAGTTTTGAGACCAATCAATCCTTTTAGAGTTTAATCTTCTCGTTGATTAGGTCTAAAGTATATTCGCACATACTTAATCTTGATTATAATAAACGGACCTAAATGCGTCAAATTCAGTGTTTAGGTCTAATGAACCTTACATTGTTGAAAACTGAGCCAAGAACTTAACCAAACATCATAAAATCCGTGCAAGCAAGGCCTATAAAAGTGGATAAACCTTTCAAAGAGATTTCCAGCTATATTACAAGCCCAATTCTAACTAATAACGAAAAGGATATGATCAAAACAATACTAAATAGGGCCAAAACCGACACCCTTTAACTAAATCGATTGTATCATAAAATTCACAAAAGCTTTTGAACTAACTCCAATTAATTCGGAAAGTAGACTCCATAGCTTTCCAGCGCTATCTTATTTGCCTCATTTTTTAAATTAATATGGCAAATCGGGCATGCACAATAGTTGCGCGTGACTCCTAGATAGAGTTGTGGACTACCTGAGCGCAACTTTTTTTTTTCGCACGTCCCCTAGCGCGACGTTGATTAAACCCTAATTTCATAGCCCTACGCCTATATATAGGGGTCACGGTTAGACCTAAATAGACAAGAAAACTCGGATAATTAACCATGAAGTTCTTAAATCCTAATTTCTTCTATCCTCAGATCATATTATTCTCATATACTACTCTCATACTATTTTCCCCCTCTTTTCCCAAACACATTTAACCCTGATATAATTGATTTTTTCAAAGTTATTGGAGGCTATGATGAAGGAGGAAGTCCATAGAATACACGCAAAACGAAGGTTTAGCTAAAAAGAAAATGATTGATTTCCTAAGCACTTAGTTAAATCATTTTTCATTTCTTGTTTAAATAACTTTAATTAATCAAATAATAATTTATTAGTGTTGGTTGATCATATTAATGAAGATAATGAATTTTTAACATAGTATTCTCTCGTTAATTAAATACTAGAATTAATTAAAAAAACCAACTTTTGCCTTATCCCTCGACAGGTCTAGCAAATACTACTTTATTTTTTTACTGTTCTTATTCACGAATTGGAATAATAAAAGAACAACGACTTTAGTTACAATGTAAGCTTTATGTGAGCATTGCTTAGCATAAAATATCTTACTTAGGTTCAGCATCACATTGCTTATATTTGCCTAGTAATGAAATTGTAATTAAGAATATCTAGTATGTGATAGATTATAAAACATATTCCTGGGCCTCAACCATAAGTTTAAGTTTTTGGTTGAGATGATCTATTAACATGGTATCGAAGCCAGCGTGACACAAAGGTTATGGGTTCGAATCTCATCCGCCCCTCCTTCAAAGTGGAATTAATTCGCACCAGGTATGGGTGAGCCTGTGTTGCATCTAGAGATGGTTCATTAACAGGATGATCGCTGTTGCACTCTATTGGGAGAAAGGTACAAACTGGATTTATAAGTTTCTTCCTAGAAACTCATTGAAGACTATATTTAGTAAATTAAAAAAAAAAGTGCTTATTGTTGGTTTCGTTCCTCTCGTACCAATGTTTCCGAAACAGTAAGGAATTCAAACCGTAATGTATTTAAAAGTTTAAAGTCATGGCTTTAAAGGGCCTTGAATAGAAGGAATGGTCTATAACGTGTATTATTTGATAGATATATATTATATTTATGATAGTATTTGTCAATCAATAGATTTTTAAATGTACCATTTAAAAAATAAAATTAGCCTATAGTATTTTTGTTTAGGCTCAATCCAAGACCAGTAAAGCAACTAAACTCAATGTACAATCATAATAATCAATTCAACATGAAGTCAAGAAAACGCAAAGGCATGTTTTCAAAAACATCAACACTAACCAAAGAGTTTCTAATGGATGCAATACTCCCAAATTTACCAACAAATTAAATGTCTCTCTTCTTCGTATCAATTGCGGATTCAAATCCTTCAAAACATTAACTTCGAGTCCCAAATTCATTGATATCTACCTCCGATCCAACTCAAACCGCCTCTTCATCCAACTTATTATCACCCATGACTATGAATACAAATACAAGACCTTCAAATTCATGGCTTAACTACTAAATAAAATTAATTTTTTTTAAGGTGAAGATCGAGAATAGCACCTTAGTTGCATTGATAGAGTATAAATCAATCCTGAAGTTCAACCATCATCCTAAGTTTTTACACCGTAGTAGTTTAATTATTCTTTTTAACATAGATCAAGAGCCAACGTGACATAATAGTCACGGGTGTGAATCTTATTCACCCTTCCATTTAAAGTTGAATAATATTAAGCGCTGGATATGGTGAAACCATGCTAAAAGCTAACAGCTTGAAAACCAATGAAATTTTATGCGCGGGGTCGTGATAAAGTATATTGATAATATTAGTTAATTAAAGAAACACTCAATTGAACTTTAACTTCTTCTTTTAGATTAAAGTAGCAAATCTGTTAACTATTTCTTATTTGTATATATTTTGTCCCTCGTGCTTAATTTGGTAGTCTGATATTGTTAGTTAAATTCACAAAATTATCCTCATTGACAACATCACAACAAGCCACGGTTCTTTATACAGTATCAATTAATATATGATTAAAAAATTTCACAAAAGATATTCTCAACCGATAATATTCTTGACAATAAAAATGTTTTTGTTTGATGCGCGAATCGATTTTTTTTTCGTATTCCAAATTAATAATGAAATTGTTAAATTGGAGGGGATTTTAATAAATTCCAACATTCCCATCATTCCCCCAAATATTAATTAATAATTTCCTTGTAGGAATATATTCCTCCTCCATAGTCATAACTTTAATTTTTAAAATACCCTAAAATAAACATGATCTATAAATCTATAATAAACTCTAACATGTATTACGTGTTAGAATAAACTTTTTTTCTTTTTTTTGGAAGGAAGACGTGTTAGAATAAACTTAATTATTTATATATATAAAAAAAAGTTATATATACCGAGCATATGCACCAAACTACTATCATATCACACTTTTCTTCAAATCTCCTGCACTGACATTCTTTCTTACTATAACAATCAAGTTTTAAGTTTTTGTTTCATTCATGGCGACAATATCATCTTCAATTTCTGCTGAGTTCAGGTGAATTATTTATTTAATCTTTAGTTTTTGCCTACCTCTTTAATTTTAAGTTAAAATTTCTTTTTATGTTTCTTCTTTGATAGAAATGTAAGTTCATACTACTGGAAAATATTATAAGGTCATTTTAACACGACGTCTACAATGAATTTATAATTTGTTTTATGATCAAATTACTTTAGGGCGTTTTCGGCAAAATATAGCTGTGAAGGTAGTTGTTTGCTGTCAACAAGCTGTTAGCTGTGAATATAGATAATTTAAGTATGAATATTCGGTAAAGTAGCGGTTGACTAGCTATAACATATAAAAATCAATATTTTATTTTTAAAAGTATAGATTAAATTTTCAACCTGTAACTCAAAAGCTACGACCTCTACTTTCAAAAATTAATATTTCTAACTTTTCATAAAAGCTACTTTCACCACTAAAAGCTACCCCTAACAACTACTTTGCCAAACACTATCATTATTTTGTTAAGTAATGGTTTGACCAAGTTAAACTACTAAAAACTAGCTAAAAGCTACTCAAATGCTAGCGATGAACATGCCCTTACTTATTTAAAGGAAAATATCCATTTTAATTTGGTGCATAACATATGCCACAGCTCTAAATGTACTAGATACGAGGGCAAAGGAATTGATGTGAATAGTATAAAAATTTAAATGCTGCAATATTTATGAAAAAGAGAAAGTACTAACTTTACTGCTTAACCATAACCAATACTTGCATACAAAAAATGTTATCATGTAACCCTTCTTAAACTATTAGTTTTATTGAATATTTTCTTAATATTAAAACATCATATTTTAAACTAGCAGATGATTGAAAATAAACTGTAACATACACTTCTTACAAATATAATTTAGAATAGAGGAAGGTTTAAGTTGATAGTCGTGGAAGCTACGAAGTTCAAATAAATGAAGCTACAAAATTGGTTACATTTTATTTCTTTTGGTGCTAGCCACTAGGGGTGTACAAAAATTGGCCTGGACCTGAAACCGGACCTGAACCGACCTGAATCGGACCGGACCTGACCCGGACCTGTTGATTCAGGTCCGGTCCCGGTTCTTAAAAATCCAGGTTCCCGGTCCCGGTCCAGACCCGGTCCAAACCCGGGGTTTTCAGGTCCGGACCTGAAACCCGGGAAAATCGTAATTAAAAAAAAAAAAAAAAAAAAGAAGAAAACCAAACTCTGAAAAATTGAAACTGAGTTTTCGTGGACTTATTTGTATTTTCGGTGGACTCATTTGTATTTTTGGTGTTTGAGAATCGAGACTTTATAGACTTTATGTAGTTTTGTAATTGATAATTTTGGTTTGTATGTAATTATTAAATTATGCAACAGGTCTAAAAATCACAAAACAGGTTCATATGCAGGTCCATATGCAGGTCCAACAGGTTTTGTATTAAAAAAAAAAAAACGAAAAAGACACAGAACAGGTGCATTCAGGTCCAAACCCGGACCGGACCTGATTTTTCAGGTCTGGCCCGGAATCGGACCTGTTAATTCAGGTCCGGTCCCCGGTCCTCATAATTACCCAATTCAGGTCCCCGGTCCAAATAGGTCCGGTCCGGGTCCGGTCCGGTTTTGGACCGGTGTACACCCCTACTAGCCACAACGTGTGGCCGGGGTTACTTATTCAGGGATACTCATCAATTGGCCAGGTTACTAAATCGGTCATAAGTTACTTATTCAGGGATTACTCAGTCGGTTTGGAGTTACTCAGTATGCCAGGGTTACTTATAGGGGTTACTCTTATTAAGTAACTACGACCACACGGTGTGGTATTAGCTACGTACGTATAAAAACTTAGGTATTTATTTAATTTGTTGATTTTGCCATTAACAACCATGTTACTAGTGGTGAGAATGGGTACGCAGAAATCGACTGGGACAATATAGGATTCAGCCTAACGCCCACAGATTATATGTACAAGATGAAGTGTTCCAAAGATGACGAGTTTACACTTATAGAGGCTAATCTAATTCCATACGGAAACATTGAGTTGAGCCCTGCTGCTGGTGTTTTGAACTATGGACAGGTACTTATCTATGTTCCTCGAACTCAGGTACTAATTAATTTATGTCGTCTGACATGGGTATAATATGTATAGTATGTATCACAGTGTTGAATAAAACTATTTTGTGAAAATGGAATTGTCTAAGATGGCTAGGTACTTGAAGTGAAATGATGAGTTCGAGTAACATAGGCTACGCACATTAAATAAATGGGACAATAGTTTGTTTTGCTAATTTCTGTATCTCCTTTTCTAGCTAATAGTTGTAGCTTTGTGTTTGCGAAGGGTCTATTTGAGGGAATGAAAGCAATAAGGAGAGAAGATGGAAAGCTAGTCTTATTCAGACCCGAAAAAAACGCGTTACGCATGAAAATAGGCGCCGAAAGAATGTGCATGCCTTCTCCTTCTGTAGATCAATTCGTTGATGCAGTGAAGCAAACTGCTCTTGCTAATAAACGATGGGTGTGTGAAGAATTATTATAATTCTACCTTTTTTTGTGAAAGTAATTAACATAAAATGTGTTAAGAATCTGATTCTTAATTATTGTTTTATAGTTTTTCGTTTTTGTATAATGTAACAGATTCCTCCTCCGGGGAAAGGCTCACTTTACATTAGACCTTTGCTTCTAGGAACTGGACCGATCCTCGGTCTATCCCCGGCTCCTGAGTACACATTTCTTATCTATGCTTCTCCTGTTCGCGATTATTTTAAGGTAAACTCTACACCCTTAGAGCCTGTTCTCTTCAACTTATTTTCAGTTTAGTTCAGTTCAGCTCCAATCAATTCAATTCAATTCCTAATTTTCTTCTCTCATAAAATATTGAGTTCAGTAAATCAAAACAGACCCTTACATACATGTGTTTTGGTATGGAGTTAATTAAGGACGAAAAATTAAATCACGTTCATTCTTTTACAATAGGAAGGAAGCAAGGCTTTGAACTTGTATGTCGAGGACCAATTTGATCGTGCATCTCGTGGTGGTTCTGGTGGTGTGAAATCGATTACCAACTATGCGCCAGTAAGCAATTCAAAATCAAATTAAAACTTTAATATAGTTGTTAAATATGGGTCTGGACTGCACCTGCAAATCAAGAGAGAAAGAGTTCACTTTACAAGTCAAAAGGAGGTTTCATCCCAAAATCATTGTAGTAATACGATGTTTAACCCCTTATTAGCGTTATAAAGTGTTTGACTCTTTTAATTTTTATCAACGTGGAACACTTACATGTGTTACTTGGTAGGATATGGTTCAACAATAGTAAACCATTGTAACAATTTATTTGTTGGTAGTGTACTTAATCTCTTGATTTGTAATTTTTCAGGTTTTGAAACCTATGATTAAGGCAAAAGACAGAGGATTTTCAGATGTCCTATATCTTGATTCTGTGAGCGGAAAATATATTGAGGAAGTTTCTTCCTGCAATATTTTTATTGTCAAGGTTAATCTCTTAATAACGCAGTTAATACATGTACCCTTCATTAATTCCTACATATAATACTTGTCATTTTTGTCAATTGAATGCTTTTATATACATCTTGGAGTAGATAGTTTTCAAAAACTACAATATACATAAATGTATTTCTTGAATTTTTGTCCAGGAGTTTGAATGAATCAAGAGTAAGATAATTCAATTGAAAATTCGTACTTTTCATTCTTATTATAGGATAAAATAATATCGACCCCAACTATAAATGGCACCATTCTCCCTGGAATAACAAGGAAAACCATCATTAATATTGCTTGTGATCATGGTTTTAAGGTATGTCATCTTATACTATATTTTACCCGATAATGATTGATTGAAATATGAATACCATAATGTTTGAAAATTCTATATTATACCTAGTACGATTATTAGTGCAATTGTTACTATTATGTTACGCGTACTTGTAGCAATACTTAACTAGTACAATGCATTCAGGTTGAAGAACGACAAATTGCTGTGGAGGAATTGCTCGAAGCAGACGAAGTTTTTTGCACCGGAACTGCTGTTGTAGTTGTGCCCGTGGGAAGCATCACATACCAAGGCAAAAGGTGTCCATGTTTAGAGTTCTTCTATTGTTTTTAATTCCGATCGATTATTATAGGGTTTCACTAATTTACTTGATCGAAATTAAAACTATTGTTAAAGTATGATGAATTCTTTGTGTAAATGTTGCAGGGTAGAATACAATACAACAGATACAAATTCAGTGAGTAAGAAGTTGTTGACAACATTTGTCGCGATTCAAAATGGTCAGGTTGAAGACATCCATGGTTGGCTAGTCGAAATTAATTAATTAAGGTGTATTGTTTCTTCTAAGCATGAAACAACCCTTCAAAACTTCAATTGAACAAATAAATGTAGTTCAATACTCGATTGTATTACGCAAATTTTCTTGTAGATGAAATCAAGCTATGAAGATCATGTTATTTTATACACTAGTAAGGCCGTGGTTAAATAATAATAATAATATACACTATTTTGAGCGAATACACCCCAAAGTTGAGATTATTTAATAATAATCCAAAGTTGGACTTATTTAAAGCAAATACGTGAAATTTTGGATTATAAAAGCATTTTTCGAGTTTTTATACTTTAAAAACGTTCCAATACATCATTGTCACTAAAGTTAGCAAAATGATCTCTTTCAAGAAATCCTCTATGTCTTCACTAATAGGCTTAGAGTTTGTTGAGGAAAAGTTTGATTATTTTTAGATTTGTTCCAAAAATTCTCCAAACTATTTATAATAATCCAAATTATCTTTTAGATGGACACTACAATAAAGCATGTTCAGATTAAAATTTATGGTATCCCTGAGACCATAATGCATGTTTTTAGGGATTGCAATAGAGCCAAGAAGCCTTGGGACCTTGTTAACCCTCCTAACCCTGACCACCAGGCTTATCCTGTTACTTGGCTCTGTCAAAATCTAGACGTGTCCTCTAACAACAGTTTTATCAACCTTCCCTGGAATTAAACCTTTACCATGATAATATGGAGAATGTGGTTGAGGAGAAATGAATGGGTGTTCAATAAAAAATCTACCCCGGTCTCTACTCATATCAATGCTGTTAAATCCTTGGCTATTGAACTGACTTTTCTTGGCCCCAACTCCCTTCAAAACTCTCAAACCCAAACCCTTTATCAACACATTAGTCTGGGGTCTGGCTTGCATATAGTGGTTGATGCTTCCTTTAAAGAACAGGGATGTGCTTCTAGCATTGCCTGTATTTGCAAGGACCAGCAGAACAACTGGGTCAAGGGTATTTCCCTCCATATTGTAACTAATTCTGCCCTTATGGCTAAAACCATAGCCATCATTGCTGCTGCTACATGGGCCGTCAAAGAAGGATGGCAGGAAGTGTATATCATTTCTGATTGTCAAAGCTAGGGCTGTGTAGGGAATTAACCAACAAGGTAAGGACTATGATGAAATGGGAAAATCATTATATGTTTTGTAAGGACCTTCTGAAGTAGTTTCCAAGGGGAAAGCTATCCAAAGGGCCCAGGGATCAAGTCAAGGAAGCAGATGTGGTGGCTAAGCAAGCTATGCAGCATCTAACAACCTCCTCTAGGGTGGCTGGAATTTGGAAATTATTTTGAATATTTGTGTGCTGATTGTCTCTCAAACTTCATCTGATGAACTATGTAATTTTGACTTTGTATATTTTGGCAACAAACTTCTTATGTGCTCTAATCAAATTGTAATTTCGGGTGTGATGACACCAGTCACTTTTGAACCCACCTTAGCCGATGGTGGTGTTAGTTGTAAAAGGGCATATGCCTGTAAACGATTTGCTACTGTTGATGCTTATTTAATCTAGTTCTACTTATTCCAAAAAAAAAAAAGAGATTAAAATTTATGTGTGATTAGATTTCACTATTGCTTCAATTTCTTGTATTCTTGCTGTTGTCCACCACTCACAAATTGTAGTCTTTGTTTTTTTTTTTTTTTTTTTTTTTTTTTTGGAATCTAAGAGAAAAAAGTTTGGGAAAAGAGAGAGAGAGAGAGAGAGAGAGGTGGGGAAAAGAGATGATCCGAAGAAAAAGAGAGTGTTGTGGATCTTTTAAATAGAGAGAAAAAAATAATAGAGAAGAGTAATGAATATGGAGAAAAGAGAGGGAGAGGAACATGGGAAAGAGAAAGGTAATTGGGGAAAATGAGTTTTTAGATTATTTACAATTTTGTCATTAATGAAGCATGTAATGAGAGCCATTAGATTATTTTATTTGAACGCATTAGATCATCAATTTGTTTTTAAGATAAAAATTTTAATTTTAATTTTTTTCAATATTTTTTTATCAACAATTTTTAAATTTACAACTACTAAAATTTAATCGGTGTTTATTCTGCGGCTGAGCACATAGTGTGGCCGCTTGTAAAAAAATAAAGTAACCCCTATATTAAAGACAGAGGAACCTCCCTTATTGTACTTACTGAGTAACTCTTAAATACCAGCATACGTGTCGTTTTGTTAATCTTATTTTCACTTATTTCAGGTATAATAAGCTCAGTTCAGTTTTAATAAGTTTTGATAAGGGTTATCCAAGTATAAATTATATCTAAAATAAGTTTATTTAAGTTTTATAAGGTCTAATAAGTTCAGATAAGATAAGTTCAAATCAGTTAAAATTAAGTGAATAGAACACACCTGTAACCCCTACAAACACTTACAAAGTAACTTTTGTATTATCAACTAAGTGACCCCTTATAACCCTAACAGAGCAACCCAATTAACACTAAATGAGTAATTTTATAGTGACTTCTCAAATTTAGTATTGTTTAATCCTTTTATCTGGATAAGGAGAATAGTGTGCTTATTATAGCTTGTAAGATTAAAAGAAACACGTGATTTCAGATGAAAAAATTGGCAACTACCTCCCGTACGTAGTTCTATACCCATTGGCCCATTCATACTTCTTTTACGCAGAAAATAATTAAATAAAAATAAATATTTGCACATGCCCAAGTTTGAAGGATGGGAAGTAAAGTAGTTGGAGCACATATTCACAAATCAAAACTTCTAAAAAAAGTAGTGCATGATAATAATATTCGATACGCATTACGTGCATGGTGCATGATAAGTTGAAATAATTAATTTGAATAACATAGTGCTAACAAGTTATTCATGATAAGTTAAAATAGTTAAGTTCAATTTCACCAAAAAAAAAAAAAAAAAAAAAAAAAAAGGTAAGTTCAATAATAAAGTTTTATGGATAAAATAAAGTCAAATATAGCATATTCTAAATCTCAATAAGACCCATATAAATAACCTCCACTCAATAAAATGATATTTTATATTTAAGAAAAAAGTCTAAACATGATTTTAAGTTTTTAAAGGCAGTTATTTTTTTTTTAATTTTTAGCTATTGTATTTATTGAAGACAACCTATTCATCAAACGCATGAAAGCATCTTCAGTCTTCACATTAAGGGTGGAAAAAAAAGGAATAAAATTATCATAAATTACATCCAATTGAGTCGAGTTGATGCTTAGAGCACATATTCACACACTTTTCGCAGAGATTGTTGTGAATGACTGAACTTTTTTTCTCCATATAATATAAAACTCGACTATTTTTAGTAGGAAAAAAAAAGATACCAATTACCAAGTTAAGTTTAACTATAAAGGCTTCCTCAAAAAAAAAAAAAAAAAAATGTTCAGATTTTAATAGTGTAAATAATTATAAGAGGACTAAAAAAAAATTAAGTTTAACTATAGCCTCGGTTACCCCGACTCAAATATGGGTTATCTTGTGATATGCATGGTTAATCTGAAAGAGGTGTAGCTCAATTTAACAAAAAAAAAAAAAAAAAAAGCAGGTTGGTTGAAGTAGAACAAAATGTCTGGGTCGGATTTAGGCATGCCTTAGAGATTGAAGGGTATAAACTGCTAAATAACAATTAGGCTGGCCATATGGTTATATATATATATATATATATATATATATATATATATATATATATATATATATATATATATATGGTACACAATAATAGTTTGTGAAGCACTGTTACGTGCATAAGATAAATGTGGCGAAAATGTGTATGCATGTTACAATAGATGTGTGGCCCTACACGCTAAGAAAGGATTGGTTAAGGAATAAGATAATTAGGAAGAAAGTATGTATTACATCCACCGAATACAAGCAGTGGCGGATCTAGGATTTTCGAACTTATGAGTCACCATCAATAATTGATCACTTGTTTCAATCCAAAAATTATATATATATAAAAAAAAAAAAAAAATTATATTTCACCAAAATGATTTCAATCCAAAAATAGGATATAAAAATACATACTATAAAACTATTACATTAAACTAACTTTATGATTTTTTACTTAAAAAGAAGAATTATTTTTAAAAAGTAAGATAACTTAAGAGACCGGTTATTAAATATAACAGGTCTCTTTAATGAAATAATCAAAGCTGCGCAAAAAAATTATACTAGGTTGACAAAAAGAGATCTGTTATCTAGAGAACAGGTCCCTAATGACGTGGTGGCAATAGCAGTAAAAAAGAGACCACCTATCTTGTATTTTAATAGGCGGTCTCTTTGATAATTAAAAAACTGACAGTGGGCTAATTTCAAATAGATCCGCCCCTGAATACAAGATGAGGGAGCTAGAGTTCCTTAAGGTGCTTTGGCCATGTATAAAGTAGACCAAGCTAAGTGAGGCTTCGTAGTCTTGTGAAGAGGCTTGAAGAGAGGGAAAAGGTTGTCATTCGAGGGTTTGGGGAGAACCTAAGTAAACTTCGAAGAAGGTGATTGATCTGAGATTGACATGAGTTGGGATTGAGTCAAATATGGTGGGGATAAGGCGGAGTACAGTGGAAGGAGAAAATAGACACATTCTTTCTGTTTATGCTTTAATAGTATTGTTACTTTTATATATTATCTACGTACCTTGTGTTCTGCAAACTTTACTTAGTACCTCCGATTTTTTTTAGTTGTAATTTTTAAAAAAAATTTATATCCGTTAAATAATACCATAAAGTTGTAACTAAAAAAAATTGGAGGTAGTGTTTCCTATGTCAAAGTTTTTCTCAAACCTTTATATTTTTAGTCATATGTTTTTCTTCTTCTTCTTTATTTATTTATTTTTTATTTTTTAATCTCTTCATCCTTCTTTTTAAACTCAGTTAAATTTTATTTGCTTGATCATTTTATTTCTTTCTTTACACACTTTTTATTATTTCCAACTTTTATTCTATCAATTTTGTTTCTATGATATTTTTTTTTTGTTTTTTTTTTCACACAAATTTTTACAACTTATGTTAGTTGACTCAAATTATTTTGGGCTTTAGGTTTTGTTGTTATTGTTATACTTTTAAGAAAAGCACTAAATCTTATAGAATATATTTTTAAGAAATGCAGTATTAATTTGGATTTTTAAACTAATCACATATTAACCTAAGAATTGATTTATATTACTAATTTATTATAAATAAATGTTATTATGTAATCTAATGTTGGACAAGTTACATTGTCTACTTTTTAATTAGATATATTTTTAAAAAAAATATATTACTTAATAGTGTCAAAGTTGTGTATCATCAATAAATGTGCTAATCTAAATAATGCATTAAATTAAAAATTGTTTTTATTCCTAGCTCACTAATATATACTGAATAAGCTATCAAAGTGAAGCACAAAATTATAATAGTTATCCTACCGTATAAAAATTAAGGGAAGAAAACAAATGATGAAGCCATCAGTTTCCTTAAATGGTAAGAAAACACTAAATATACAAGTGAAAACATTATCAGTAGAAATGATGAAGCCATCAATTCCTACACCCTCACATCTTAAACCTTACCACCTTTGCCTTCTTGACCAATTCTTTGGTTTAACCTATGTGCCGCAAGTTCTCTTCTACCAAAATAACAATCCTTCTAAACACGATGAAAGTCAAACAAACAACGGTAAATCATTAGTTGAGAACGACGAAATCATTATGATTATCACTCGTCTTAAAGAGTCCCTCTCCAAGACACTCTCTGTATTTTATCCTCTTGTTGGCAGGCTCACTGCGGATGAGTCCGCCATCGATTGCAGTGATGAAGGGATCGCCTTTATTCAAGCTCGAACCAACATTACTCTAGGAGAATTTCTTAAATCTCCTAATCGTGTTGATGAACTTCCTCAATTTATCCCCGGGATTAGTACTAGAATTGTATCAGCTTTGGAGGTAGTACCACTAGCTATTCAAGTAACTGTTTTTGGATGCGGCGGTTTGGCCGTCGGATCGCAATATCTTCACAAAATATTTGATGGGGCTTCTTGGGGGAATTTCCTGAACACCTGGGCTGCTGTTGCTAATCAAGGGGTAGATCAAAAGATTGTTAAGCCGGATTTTGCTACCGCCATATCTCTCTTTCCTCCGTGTAGCTGGGCTTCTAAGAGGAGTTCGAAGATCTTAACGACTCGAGCATTATTAGATGGAGGTAATCACGAGGATGAGGATGATCAAACTTGTGTTGTGAAAGCTTTTGTGTTTATTCCCGAAGCCATTGCTAAGTTGCAGGCTATGGCAAAGAGTGAGCTTGTAAACAATCCAACTCGAATCGAAGCGCTTTCGGCCTTTATTTGGAAGCATGCCATGGCTGCTGCTGCTGCCGTTGCCGCCTCCTCCTGCAAATCCAACGTTAATGTGATCGGTAAGTACACTGTATTCAACTTTATTTATTTATTTTTTTTATTTTTTTTTTGGGTCATTTTTGTCTTAATTATAAGTTATAGAGATTATATAGGTTTATTTAGTGATAAACAAAAAAGGTGTCAATAAGGAGTATCAAATATGAGTCTCATAACTCTTGATTAAATTACATAAATAACAGGTTGACAAAGATATTTTGTTGATTTATTTTCAAATTAAACTACATTCATTCCTTCTAAAAATATCACTAGATAAATGATTTTTGTTTATTTTGAAGATAAATTGGGAGTTTATATATCTTACTTCATACATAAAGGAATAATCCCTATTTCTCACGGCGAGAAACGAAATTTATTTCTCATGGGGGGCATTTTCGTGAATAAATCAACAACTTTTCATTATTGTGGGCTCCACAGTTGAATAAATAAAATTTGTTTCTGAGAAAGTGGGGCACCCTCATAAAGAAATATGGTACTGGTAAAAAGTAAATCAATTTTTTTTTTTTTTTTTTATTTCAAAAATACTTTATTCTAAAAATCAATCTACTATGACTAGGGTACTTTTTGTTGATTGCAAACAGGTCCTTCGGTGTTGATTCATTCAGTGAACATACGTCCTCGAACCAATCCACCAATACCCTCAACGGCAATTGGAAATTTGATAATTCATGCATATGCATCCTACAAAGAGCTCGAGGAGAATCAGCCTATATCAGATATGGATCTGAAGGATCTGGTTGCTGAAACTCGAAAGGGGTTATCAGAAGCAAAGGATGCCGAGTTCTTAAGCAAGTTTAAAGGCGAGAACGGGGCCGAAGCCATGCGCCAGTACAAGCAGAAGGTAGCAGATATTAGCAAAGATAAAAATATAAACACATACAAGTTCACTAGCTGGAGTAAACTCGATGTGTTACCAAACTTTGGATTCATTGGGATGCCTGTTTGGATTGGATTTACTGGTGGTAAATTAAGCTCATTGTTTAAAAATCTCGTTACCATGATAGAGATTCCGGCTTCTGGTGGGATTGAAGTTTGGTTGATATTAGACGAGAAAGAGATGTCCGTCTTACGAACTAGTGAGGATTTCCTTGTATTTGCTTCTCTTACTTCTTGACCTTATTTTTTTTTTTTTGAACGGACTTCTTGACCTTGTTTCAAAACTAAGGGTCCCAACGAATTTGCTTTTATGTATTTGGGTGTATTAAGTGCTTATAATTTGAATAAAAAATAAAACTTTCAGTTATAACATTAATTACTTACCATATGCCTTCTTTTTTTTTTGTTACATTAATTACTTACCATAATTCCCTTTCTTTTTGTTACATTTTACTCGAACGTGTGTATATATATTTCTTTTCTACTCCCTCCGTTTTTTTTATATGCGTCACTTGGGAATGCACATAGTTTTAGGAGATAAATATAATATTGTGACTGGGTGAATAAATTATTATAATAAAAGTATGATGGGGACCATGAAAGAGAAAGTATGTGAGAGAGAATAGATATTTTATTATTTAAGTGGGGACATAGAAGAGAGAGAAATGATAAAATAATTTGAGTGGGGTTTAAAGCAAGAGAGAGAATAATAAAATATAGTATAACTTTACCAAATATAGAAGTGATGCATATAAAAAACACCCATAAAAGAAAAGTGATGCATATAAAAAAAACGAAGGGAGTAATTAACCATGATATTTCTCTTAAAAATGTTTCATCATGTGATTTTGTGGTTTAGTTGTTGTCGAAATATTCCTTCAAATTATGATAAATTGCCTATTTTTTTTTTGGATAAAAAATTGTTTAATAAAAGATAAAATGTTGTAAAAGACTACCGTTAGCTAGAACTATTGTTGACATAATTTTTCGACATTGACCCGCAACAAAACACCCTAAAAACGACGCTTCATCTCCAAAACCAACACCTCCGCCTTGAAACTACCACCAGCCGCAACACCATCTAACCCCAAAGAGGCTGGTTTAGAGGGGTGTTTTGGGCTTGGTCAACGCCAGAAAATTAGTCAACGGTAGATTTCCGGCCCAAGATAGTCTTTTACAACATTTTATCATTTATTAGATAGTTTCTTACAACATTATTTTTTTAGCTAGTTCCTCACAAATTTTAGGTTTATTAGATAGATTATGACAAAAAAAGCCTTTTGAAAATTACTGACTATTAGACAAGATTCTGGCATAAAATTCTTAATTACCCTGTTACAAACATTATTATTTTTCATTGTGGACTATACTTTATGCATCTAAATCTTGCTTGCTTTGTATTGTCACGACTTAAAGCGCATTAATTAAGATTAATTGAAGTTGCTTAACTAAAGCAATTCTTTTAGGAAAAATTGAAATTTACTACCAGCCAAAGCACCATGTATCCAATTTACTACCCATTTAAAAAAATATTTTATATTTCTACCACCCAAAATCACATAATTAAAATTTCACTACCACTTAACGGAATCCGTTAAGATTCCGTTAAGTTTATTAAAAAAAAAATTATTTAAAAAAAAATTAACCCAACCACCCCTTTTACCCCCCCCTCGGCGCCCGACGGCCGGCGCTCAGAGCTTCGGCCGGCGCCGGTGCGAACCCACTCCCCTCCCTCTCCCCCACCGCTATGCAGCCAACGGACCCCTCTTTCCTTTTCCCCGTTCTCGCTGCCCAACCCCCACCCCAAATTGAATTACTTCCATTAATTCCGGCATTTTCGACCTCGGTTCCTAGCACTGAAGCGTCGAAAATGGATCGGAGAGCCTTGAAGTGATTTGATAGAAGATTTTGATTGAAATTAAATCACAATTGAAGCAATCAGGGTTTTGAAAAGGGGGGAAATTTTTGTGCGGTGGTGGTGGTTTACGGTTGACGGAAATGGAGTCCAAGCATTATCGATCTTGCATCAATGGGGGCATTCATCTTGTATCAATAGCAGCGACGTGTATTCAGCTTCAATTGATGGTGGTGCGGGGCTGCTAGTGGAGCGAAGCTTCTTGCGGTGGTGCTCGCTGTAGTGTTGCGTTGGGGGTTGAAGTGTGGGCTGAGCTTGGTGATGTTGGAGAGAGCAGGGGATCGGAGTTGTGGTGGTTTGGCGTTGTGGATGACGGTGTGAATGGAGGGGTCGGGGCAGCAAGTACGGGAAAAGGGAGGGGGTTGGTTGCGCAGGTGGGGGAAGGGAGGGGGTGGGGTCGCGCCGGCTAGGGGAAGGGGGTGGGGGTCGCGCCGGCGCCGGTAGGGGGGAGGGGGTGGCAGTTGAGGGGACGGGTAGCAGTGAAGTGGAGAGGTGGCCGCAAGGTGGTTGAACGGTGGCTAAACCCAAGTAACGGAAACAGTAACGGTCTTAGTCTTTGGTAGTGAAATATATATTTTAGGGATTTGTGTGGTAGCAAAATAAAATATTTTTTTAAATGGGTAGTAAATCTGATACGGGGTGCTTTCGGTGGTAGTAAATTTCAATTTTTCCTTCTTTTTATATTATTTCTCAAAAAACAAAGCATTGTCAATTAGGGGTTAGAGTATAAAGCATGATTAGAGTTATACGCTTTTTTGTGGATTGATTCGTTGTGTCTTTATTGCTTTATTTGTTGGTTAGAGTATAAAGTATAAAGCATTTTTTTAAAAAAATTATTGTTATTATTATTTTTTGGGTATATAAAAGGCTCTATCAGGCAGGAATTTCTCAATAGTCCCCCAACCCGAGATAGCATACTAGGTACTTTAAAAGTGGAGGAAAGAGTAAAGGAATCCCAACTCTAAAGTGCCTCTAGCAAGGCTATGAGGTTTGATACCACCACAAGCATGAATATTGTATGATAAGCAGAGTTTCTTAAAAATCTCGCAAAATTATACTCATGGGCTGGGGTATAATAATACACTTAGCTTCTAAGCGTGCAGGTGCATAATAAGTTGATCCGGTGCATAATATATAAATTAAGGTAAGCAAAACAAGGGTTATGTAATTTAAGAAGGTAGGAATGTATTAAACGGGTTTGGGCTACATCCGCCATTAGCGTCCACTTTATACGATTTAAGAGGTTTTACCTCAAAAATATATGGAAATGAGAAGAGTAGCCCATTAGCCTTATTAAGTGGACAATACTATCACTCACATGCAGGTTTGGTCATGAATAGTCCATAATATTGCTCATATCACAATGCAATCCAACCTATGCTCTGATAAGATGTTTAACGAGTCTGTGACGCATCCATCACGAGTGTCCATTTTATATGACAAAGAAGGTTTCACCTCAAAATCATATGGCAATGAGGGGAGTAGCTCATTAGTGGACACAATTTATTTATTTATTTATTTTTTTCAATGTGGGATGCACTTTTCAACATTTTTACACTATTCTAATGTAGGACAACACTTTCTCTTACATGTGGATTTGCTCATGGGCTCAACGGAATATATTATGAACATTTTAATAAGTTTTATGAGAATCAACAATGCACAATAATAATACTCCCTCTATTTTTTTAGATGCATCATTTCCCTGATATTTTTTTTTTTGATGTATCATTTTTTTTTTTTGATAACTTTGTACCATATTTTATCATTTCACACTTTTACTTTAAAACCAACTCAAATTATTTTATCATTTTTTCTCTCATGGTCCCTACTTAAATAGTAAATAAATCTACTCTTTCTCACATATTTTTTTTCATGGTCTCCATTTTAGTTTTACTATAATGAGCTATTCATACATTTACAATAACTAGATTAAACCCCGTGCAACGCACGATTGTTAAATAATTCTAATGATAATAAATTTTACCAAAAATAATGGATATAAATATTATAAATAGACTTAGTAATGAAAAGTATGAAATATTGTGAAAGAAATTAATTAAACATGTAATAGTTATAATGGGCAATTTGATATTTAAGAACATTTATTTTAGATTTTATTTATACAAACTAAAAGTCATAATTTAATAAAAATAATTTTTTTTTAGTAAGTGGTTTTAGAGAGAAAACTTTTTATGATATTTTGCCAAGTGTTTTCTAAGTTTCGCCTTTAGCATAATGTAATTGATTGATTGATATATTACTTTCCTAAAACTCTGTGCATTCCTAGCTATCCTAAGTGATGCATATATAAATATCGGAGGAAGTAATTTTCTTCAAGCTTATAAGGTTAGGGCAGGAGGCAAGCATTGGACATCGCAATATTAGATAGAAATGGAGTTAGAAATGGAAACAATCTCAACTGAAATCATCGAACCATCAACTCCTACACCTCCACATCTCAAAACATTCAAGCTTTCTCTTCTTGATCAATTCTACCAATTCACTTATGTACCTCATGTCCTCTTCTATAACCCATCTCCTCCGCTCGAAAATGGTACAAAAAATGATCAAAAAATGACAACATATTTAAAAGATTCACTCTCTAAAACTCTCTCTTTATTCTACCCTCTTGCTGGTAGGCTTACCATGGACGAATCATCAATCGATTGCAACGACAAAGGAATATCCTTTGTTGAAACTCGAGTTCTCAATTGCTCCCTCAGTACCTTCCTAGAGGCTTCCAACCGCGTTGATTTGGTTGGTCGCTTCCTATCTGAAACTATATATGATGATCAACTAATTGACAAAAATAAAAATATCCATGAAACGAAGACGGTCACAGAACTTGTGCCACTAGCAATACAAGTGAATATTTTCAATTGTGGTGGGTTTGCTATTGGTAGCCAATGGCTTCACAAGTTCTGTGACGCGGTTTCATGGGGAAATTTCCTCAAGAATTGGGCTGCTATTGCGGCAGGGCTAAAAGAGAATGTCACACCTCCCGAATTTGCTACCGCCATCTCTCTTTTTCCTCCGTGTGACTTGATCCAACCCTCAGGATTGAAGCCTAGAACACTTAAGCCTCCAGATGACGCCCTTAAGACGGGTCGTGGTGGCTGCATTGTCCGGTCATTTTTGTTTACTCCTCAAGCCATTAATGCTTTACAAGCTCTGGCTATAAGTGAACATGTACCTAATCCTACCCGCGTTGAGGTTGTGTCTGGATTCATTTGGAAGCATGCCATGGCGGCGGTGGCTACTACCGCTAATGATCGCTTGTGTAATTCAGTTCCATCTATCTGTATGTATATTTGTTTCATAAGTACTAGCCATGCTTCCTTAATAAGTTAGGGTATGTTCTCTTTACCTTAACTGTGATTGTTACTTTGTTACATATGATGTAGAGTATTTAATTTGGATTTTTATTATTATTATTAAAAATAAGTATTCAATATTGTGTACATATTAGAATTGATTAGGTAGAACTAATTAAAGGTATTGAAACTTGTTAAACTTATTTAAAAAGTATTTTTAAGGTAAAGAGAACGCATCCTTATTTATTTTTCTTCTTACGAGTCCTTAATAAATTTGAAGACACTTAATATTAGTCTTAATTTTACACTAAACTAGTGTGATTTGCGTTATTGTTATACTCCAAACAGGTTCCTCAAATATCAGCCACGCAGTAAACATGCGCCCACGGACCAATCCCTGGCTATCATCAGCATGCTTCGGAAATTTGATAATAGATGCTATTGCACACTATGAAGGCGAAAATGAAGCTAGCCAAAGAAAAGCAGAGCTCTCAGACTTGGTAGCTCGGATTCGAAACGGGCTAGCACCGTTCAAGGACGCGGAGTTTCTAAGCAAGTTTCAAGGAGAGGGAGGGGCTCAAGTTATGGGTAATTACAAGAAGAAATTAAAGGATGAAAATGATAGCATAACAACATATAAGTTCACTAGTTGGAGTAAACTTGATATGAAACCAGATTTTGGGTTCGGGTTGCCGGTTTGGGTCGGGTTTACCGGAGGTAGACTGAGCTCCTCATTTAAGAATCTCATTCCTTTAATAGAGACATTAGATCATGGAATTGAAGCATGGCTAATACTAGATGAGCAACAAGGTTCTGTTTTGCAATCTGACCCTGACTTTCTTCAATTCGCTTCACCTATTTCATCATGATGTCAAATTTATTTTATAAGCCTATAATTGGCTATTTGCTTTAATTTGAGAATCGTCGTTATTGTTACGCCTTTTCAATTTTTTTTTAATTTTTTTTTTAAAAGGAACTACTGTACAATAAACAAGATATCGGAAATGATACTTTCTCATCTTTTGTTATAGTTTTAAACATAATCTATACAAGCACGATGACCACGATAAGTCCATAAAATAACTTTTTATCATATGCTCTTTAAAATCGAACTGAAACCGACCCGTAAGACACTTGAACCGATTTCAAAATGATCCAATTTCAAACCGACCCGATTTCAAACCAAACCAAACCGAAACCTAACTGTCAAACCGATTTGAGAGTACTAGCCCCACTAATTTGAACAATAGCATTCAACATAATATATTTGCAATGATTCTAAATTTTTAAAAAAGTTACACAAAATAAACTATGGTCAACAATTCTAAAGGCCCAAAGTTTCTAATACACTTACAGGGAGAAAGGGTGTATTAGAATAAGAAAAAAGCCTAAAATTTAGAACGCAAGTAGGAACATTCAAGTCTTGATTATAAATAACTAGAGTTATACAAGTGTTGACCACATAATCATTTTATTTGCTCCGAAAAAGATGAAGAATACTTTATTTCCCTTATGGACATATAATTTGCGATAGTCTTGATAGAACAATACTATTTGAAATCTATTTTTTTGTGATTGATATGATCTAGACGAAAAATTAGGGCTTTTTTTTAATCGAAATTAGGTTTATGCAACTGTTTACATACTCCGTATTTTGTATATTACTTAAATTTTCAAACTTAAAAAAATCTTTAAGAAAATTAAAATAAAATAAAACTAGAAAAACAAAATTTAAACAAAAAAATATATTATCAATAGAGTGAACCAAATCGATTCAAAGAAAAATAAGAAATAGATAAATTCCTTTCAAATTAATAAATTAGCTAATTTGGGAATTAAATATTATAATTAACCGTTTTGATAAATATTTTTGTCAAATTAGTCGTTTTGGTAAAAGAACCTATTTCATGTGTGGTGGTGCTAATGGTTGTGCGGTGGTCGCACAATGGTGTTAATGGTCATGCTGTGGTAATGGTGATCTAATGGTGTAGATATAGAGAGAAAAATAAAGGAGATATAGCTGAGAAAATGCAAAATTACTCTTGATATTAACTTCTTCCAAGATTATGCATGCGCCACATATATTAAAAACTAACGCTATATTTGGATAGAGAGAAATGGAGAAAAGGAAGATAAGAGAAAAGAAATAAAGGAAGCATCATCCCTTGTTTAGACACCTAATACAAGGAGGGAATGGGAGAGAATAAGAATGATCCATTTCCCTCCCTTTTTAATAAAGCAAATCTCTTAGCTAATTTAAGTAATTCTTTTAGTGAGTTTCGTGTTTGGTTAGAGGAGTACCCCCGGAAATTCATGGGGCGGTTTGTAATGACATTGATCGTTTGATTTAATAAATGCTAAGCTTGAAGTTGTGTCAAAAAAAAAAAAAAAAAAAAAAAAAAAAAAAAAAAAAGCAAATCTCTCCAATATATTAGAGAAATTTGGAAGGAATATGGAATGTGACCTCCTCAGCTCCTCTCACCTCCCTTTCTCTTATCCCTCTTTTTCCTTCCCCTTCGTTTCCCTTCACTATTCCTATCCAAACACAATGTAAGTATTCTTTCCAACGAACTAATTTAGTGATTTTTTTTTTTTTGAACATATGGTAACAGCTCAAAATGCTAATAGAGCATTAGTAATTGAGTTGGCGAATAGTGTATAATTAATGGAAGAATCGAAGTTTTTTGTCACAGACTATTATCATATAATACTATATAACTATCCCCCATTTGAAATTAAAGTTTGAGGCTCTAATCAAAAGTGTAAAGCTAGTCAAGCAAGAATCGGATACAGCATTTATTTATGATAAATATGCATGTGTTTCGCAATATATAATTTCAAGTATTCACTAATCAGTGATGTGCGAGCTAGTATATGGAATATCGAATCACTTAATTCGAACAAAAAAAATTTCAAATTGTTAGCTCCATTATTTCCAAATATTCGCTTTTTAAAAAACAAAATTAAATAAAAAAATAAAAAAAATGTGTGAAACAAAAAATAATTTCAAATTGTTAGCTCCATCATTTCCAAATATTCGCTTTTTCAAAAACAAAATTAAATAAAAAAATAAAAAAAATGTGTGAAACAAAAAATAATTTCAAATTGTTAGCTCCATTATTTTCAAATATTCGCTTTTACAAAAATAAAATAAAATAAAAAACTTGTGCGTTTGATTAGGAAAAAAAGTCCAACAAAAAAGCACCAATTTTCCTTATAAATTGTTTCCCTTAAGCAAAAAAAGATATTCTTTTACTCTTTTGTGATTGGTAAACAATATATCTATGCAAAATGATAAAGATCACAACATGGCAAAAACCAAATGTCACAATCTTATGTTATGGATTATGAGTCTAGTTTTGGAAATGAGGTGCCAATAATGAATATAAGGATTCATAACATAAGTAAAACATTTGAAAACGTATGAAGCAAAAAAATTTACCATAAGCCATCACAGCAGTAAAATATTGGAAATGAATAACACAATTTTTGTTTTACAAATTGCTTTAGCATCACCCTATATATTAAATCTATGAATCACATCAAAAATTCACAACAGAACAAAAGAACTCATCATGTCTTCAATGAGTAGTGTTGAACCACAAAACCTTCATGTAATCTTTTTCCCAATGATTGGCCATGGTCATATGATCCCAATGTTAGACATTGCAAAGCTATTTTCCAGCCATCAAGTCAAGACCACCATAGTAACCACCCCTAGCAACGCACCAACTTTTACAAAGCCACTAGAGAGCTATAGAAACGTCGGCCCGAAAATCGATATAGAGATCATCCCGTTTCCCTCCAAGGAGACTACTTGCCTTCCTGAGGGAGTAGAGAATTTCGAGCACGCAACTTCCCCGGAACTCGTGGCGAAACTGTGGAAGGCAACCTTGTTACTTCAAAAACCGCTCAGGGTAGTGTTAGAAAAATACAAACCTAATTGCTTGATTGCGGACAAGCTATTCGCATTTGCAACCGAAGTTGCAGCCGAATTTAATATACCAAGGTTAGTGTTTCACGGGACAGGCTTCTTTTTGCTATGTGCATTAGACGCTATAACGAAATTCGAGCCGCATAAATCGGTTTTATTTGATGAGGAAGAGTTTGTTATCCCGCACCTTCCACATGAAATAAAATTGACAAGATTAAAATTGCCTCAACATATTCGAGAAAATGATAATAATAATGAGTTGGTGGAATTTCTTAAAAGTGCTGTTGAATCAGAGGAAAGAAGTTATGGGGTTATAGTGAATAGCTTTTATGAGCTAGAACAAGATTATGCTGATCATTATAGGAAGGTTATGGGTAGAAGGGCATGGCATATAGGTCCGGTTTCGCTATGTAATAAAGAAAATGAAGCTAAATTTTATAGGGGAAAGGGTTCATCAATTGATGAACATGAGTGCTTAAGATGGCTTGATTCTAAGAGGGAAAGTTCGGTTGTGTACGTGTGTTTTGGCACCTTGTCCATGTTTTCGACGTCTCAGCTTCGTGAGATAGCAATGGGACTAGAGGCCTCGGGGCAGGAATTCATATGGGTGGTGAAAGGGAGCAAGGATAATGAAAAGGAAGACGAGTGGCTGCCTAAGAAAGGACTAATTATAAGGGGTTGGGCGCCACAAGTGTTAATACTAGATCACAAGTCGATAGGAGGATTCGTGACTCATTGTGGGTGGAATTCGATTCTAGAAGGCGTGTCTTGTGGGATTCCTATGGTCACTTGGCCTATATTTTCGGAGCAATTTTACAATGAGAAATTGGTAACAGAGATTTTGAGGATTGGGGTTGGTGTAGGGGCAAAGGAATGGAGCAGGACCGTGGATGACGCGAATGTAAAATCGGAAGAAATTAATGAGGCCATAACAAGAGTAATGGTTGGTGATGAAGCTTTAGAGATGAGAAGCAAGGCTAAGTAGCTAAAAGAAAAGGCAAGGTTGGCTATAGATGTTGGAGGTTCATCTTACTCTGACTTGAGTTCCTTGATACAACAACTACGTTCTTATCACTTGGCCTAATAACATTTTTTTGACTTCAAGTAACAAAATGTAATATGGCTGCATATTACGTTGCATGTTTGCCTATTTGAAATTCTTGTGTGATTGTGTGAGTGTTTGTGTGTGGGTTGAGTTTACATGCTCACATGTGCGTGCTTGCTTGTATGTTCGTCTTACAGTTTGTAATAATACTTTTATTAGTTGTTACAACGGTTGTTAGTTTGTTAGTATGTATTTTTTTGTCTTAACCATACTTTGCTCACACGAGCGAAGGCAGATCCAAGAATTAGTGGAAATTACATAGTACATCAGGGTGTACCATGCTCATGATACACTTAATGTTAAATAATGTGCTTTATATATTAAAATCCAAGTTTTTTTTTTTTTCCAACTTACAAGGTTTTTTTTTTTTTTTAAAGGACATTTTGTAAAAAAAATCTACTTTATAAAACACTCTTTTTTTTTCGAGAAACTACCTAATAAAAAAATATTGTAAGAAACTACCTTATTAAAGAGTAAATGTTGTAAGAGACTACCATTGGTCGAAAAGTCACCGTTGACTTTCATTTTTCGGCGTTGACCACATCACGTGCCAATCACGTGACTTTTAATTCACCCTTTCCCTCATTTTTTCTTAATACACACACATATATATATACACACTGTGTATATATAAGAGCTGTCAATTCGGGTAAGCGGGTTGGGTTTGGGTTGGGTCAATTAAGGTTAATTCCATAACCTATGCGGGTCGAGTTTGGGTGGGGTCATGCTTGAGTTGGGTCATGTCGGCTCATACTTCTTATCGGGTTTTGGTTGGGTTAATAACAAGTCGAGTTACATTCAAGTCGAGTGAACAATAGATCGGGTTTAATTCGGGTTTTCACAATTTAAAACGGGTTAGGGTAATTCTCGGGTTCGAACGAGTCAGGTTCGGGTCATTCTCGATTCAAGTCAATAATTTTCGGATTAGAATCAGGTTGGGTCATTCTCGGGATTGAGTCGGGTTCAGTTCAAGTCAATAATTTGCGGATTATAATCAGTTCGGGTCTTTTTCTAGTTGGGTCATTCTCGGGTTCAAGTCGGGTTCGATTCAAGTCAATAATTTGGGGTTATAATCTGATTGGGTCATTTAATTTCTAAGTCGGGTCATTCTCGGATTCAAGTCGGGTTATGTTCAAGTCAATAATTTGAAGGTTACAATCAGGTCGGGTCATTTCCAAGTCAGGTCATATTTGGGTTCAACTAACTATAAATAGATAATTATCATTTTTATCAAGTTAATTATTTCCTTTGACTATAATATATATGGAAATATACTAGAGAACTATAGTCTATAATTTAGGAAGATAATTATCTCCTTTGACCATACAGCAAATATATACTATATTTAACTCTTAAATTTGAGGATGATGCTCATTTCTTTTGCCGCCCTGGACCGACTTGGTCTCTTAAGACAAAATGCTTTGATAAATAATAATAAGGTGGTCTAAATTGCATTTAAGGTGAATTGAAATCGGGTTAGAAACAATTTGGGTTGAATTTAGGTCGGGCTAATAATAAGTCGTGTTAATTTCGAGTAGGGTTAGTAACAGATCGGGTTGAATTTTTTGGTTGTGTAAGTAATAAGTATGGTAAAATTCGAGTTGGGTTAATAACAAGTCGGGATGAATTTGAGTCAGGTCAATAACAAGTCGGGTTGATTTCGGGTTAGTTTTGTAACAAGTTGGGTTAAATTCGGGTCATGTTAGGAACGGGTTGGGTTGAATTCAGGTCGAGTTAGTAACAAGTCGGGTTAAATTCAGGTTTTAACGGATTAAAATGGGTTTAGGTCTATTTCGTTTCAAGTCGGGTTCAGTGCAAGTTAATTAAATTGACCGTTGTAAACCGATAAATCGGTGCAAGTTGTAAACCGGTAAATTGGTCGTTTCAAAGTAAATTGAATGGTTCCACACACCCAATTGGACTCCCGGAGGGTATTAGGGACCATGGTAAATATTTCGGCAATTTTTAATTCCAGACGAAAAAAAAGTGAAATAATTCAAAAAAGTGAAGGCTAATATCCACTCTTTTTGAGAAATTTTAGAGGTTTCGGGGCCCGGTGTCAAAAAATCTTGGAATTCAATAAGATACATTTTGGGTTATATAATGCCGTTTGGAACCATATACGATCATTATTTGATGTCATAAATGTTCGTGGTAGGCTGGAATTATTGAAATCGGTGCAAGTCGTATACCGGTAAATTGATCGTTTAAAGGTTAATTGGATGGTTCCACCCACCCAATTGGACTCCCAAAGGGTATTAGGGGCCATTTTAAACATTTTGGCAATTTTTATTTCCTGGCGAAAAAAAAAAACAAAAAATTTCAAAATTGAAGTCTAATATCCACGCATTTTTGAGAAATTTTGGAGCTTTCGGGTCTTGGTGTAGAAAAGTATTAATATTTTAGGGGATATATCTTGGGGTCATATAATTTCGTTTGGAATTAACCATATATGATCATTATATGTTGTCATAAACGTTCGTAATAGGCCTGAATTAATGAAATCCGTGCAAGTTGTAAACCGGAAATTAAATTGGTCGTTTAAGGGCAAATTGGAAGATTCCACCAACCCAATTGGACTTCTGGAGGGTACTAGGGACCACGGTAAAAATTTCGGCAATTTTTATTTCCGGGAAAAAAAAGTCAAAAAATTCCAAAATTGAAGGCTAATATCCACGCTTTTTGAAAAAATTTGGAGGTTTCGGGGCCCGGTGTCGAAAAGTCTTGAAATATTAGTGGATACATCTCGGGGTCATATAATGTTGTTTGGAACCATATATGATCGATATTTTTTGTCATAAATGTTTGTGGTAGGCTTGAGTTAATGAAATCGGTGCAAATTGTAAACCGGTAAATTGGTCGTTTAAAGGCGAATTGGATGGTTTCTCCCACCCATTGGGACTCCTGGACGGTATTAAATTAGGGACCATGGTAATCAATTCGGTAAATTTTTTTTCCTGGGCAAATAAAAAAAAAGAAGTAAAAAATTTCAAAATTGAAGGCTAATATCCACGCTCTTTGAGAAAATTTGAAGGATTCGGGGCCCAGTGTCGAAAACTCTTGAAATTCTAGGGGATACATTTCGGGATCATTTAATTCCGTTTGGAACCATATATAATCATTATTTGTTTTCATAATTTTCGTGGTAGGATTGAGTTAAAGAAATCGGTGCAAGTTATAAACTGGTAAATAGGTCGTTTAAAGGCAAATTGGATGGTTCCACCCATCCAATTAGACTCCTGAAGGGTATTAAGGACCATGTTAAACAATTCGGTAATTTTTATTTTCTGGCGAAAAAAGTCGAAAATTTCCAAAATTAAAGGCTAATGTCCACGCTTTTTGAGAAATTTTGAAGTTTTCGGGGACCGATGTCGCAAAGTCTTGAGTATTTAGGTAATACATCTAGGGGTCATATAATAACGTTTGGAACCATATATGATTATTGTATGTCGTCATAGATGTTAGTGGTAGGTTTGAGTTCATGAAATTGGTGCAAGTTGTAAACCGGTAAATTGGGCGTTTAAAGGCAAATTGGATGGTTCCACCCACCCAATTGGACTCCCGGAGGGTATTAGGCACCATGGTAAGAATTTCAGCCGTTTTTATTTTCGAGAGAAAAAAGTCAAAAAAAATCCAAAATTGAATGCCCGGTGTCGAAAATCCTTGAAATTTTAGGGGATACATCTCGGGGTCATATAATGTCTTTTGGAACCATTTATGATTATATGTTCTCATAAATGTTATTGGTGGCAGGCATGTTTTAATAAAATCGGTGCAAATTGTAAACCGGTAAATTGGTTGTTTAAAGGAAAATTGGATGGATACACCCCCCCAATTGGACTCCTGGAGGGTATTAGGGATCATGGTAAAAATTTCGGCTATTTTAATTTTCGGACGAAAAAAAAGTCAAAATATCCACGTTTTTTGAGAAATTTTTGAGGTTGGGTACGATGTTGAAAAACCTTGAGATTTTAGGGAATACATATCGAGGTCATATAATGCCGTTTGGAACCATATATGATCATTATATGTTGACATAAATGTTCGTGGTAGGCTTGAGTTAATGAAATCAGTGCAAGTTGTAAACCGGTAAATTGGTCGTTTAAAGGTAAATTTGTTTTTTCCACCAACCCAATTGGACTCCCAGTAAGTATTAGGGACCATGGTAAATATTTCGGGAATTTTATTTCCAGAAAAAAGTAAAAAAAAAAATTCAAAATTTAAATCTATGCATTTTGAGAAATTTGGGATGTTTCGAGGCCCGGTGTAGAAATATTTTAAGATTTAAGGGGATACATCTCTAGGTCATATAATGTCATTTGGAACCTTATATGATCATTATGTGTTGTCATAAATATTCGTAGTAGGCTAGAGTTAATTTGATCGGTGCAAGTTGTAAACCGGTAAATCAGCTGTTTAAAGGCAAATTTGATGATCCACCTAGACAGGTTTACTCTCGAAGGGTATTAGGGACCATTGTAAACATTACGGTAATTTTAAATTTCGGTCGAAAAAAAGTAAAAAATTCCCCAAAATTGAAGTCTAATATCCACGTTTTTTGCGAAATTTTGGAGGTTTTGGGGCCTGGTCTCGAAAATATTGAAATTCTAGGGAATACATCTCGGGGTCATTTAATGTCGTTTGAAACCATATATGACCACTATCTGTTGTCATAAATGTTCGTGGTAGGCTTAAGTTAATGAAATCGGTGCAATTTGTAAACCGGTAAATTGGTCATTTAGAGGCAAATTGGTGGTTCCACCCACCCAATTGGACTGTCGGAGGGTATAAGGGATTATGGTAAACATTTTGGAAATTTTTATTTTCGTGCAAAAAAAGTTGAAAAATTTAAAAATTAAAGGCTAATATCCACTCGTTTTGAGAAATTTTTTAGGTTTCACATCCTGGTGTCGAATAGCTTTGAGAATTTAAGGGATACATCTCAGTGTCCTATAATACTTTTTTAAACAATAAATGATCATTATATGTTGTCATACATGTTCGTGGTAGGCTTGAGTAAATGAAATCGGTGCAAGTTGTAAACCGGTAAATTTGCCATATAAAGGCAAATTGGATTGTTCCATCCATCTAATTGGACTCTCTGATTGTATTAGGAACCATGGTAAATATTTCGGAAAATTTTATTTACAGGCGAAAAAAAGTCAAAAAATCCAAAATAAAGTTTAGGTTATATTCATGCTTGTCGAGAAATTTTGGAGGTTTCTAGGCCCGGTATCGAAAA